ATTAGCATGCATGTCTAACGAGTCGACATATTCCCAAGGATACCTTGACTCTAAAGCTGACGGTTTCCAGCGTGAGTCCCTCTTCATTCGCTCTGAAGAAGGGCTGCTGCTCGAAACGTCAGCCTGGATACCTCTTTACAGTGGCCAATTTACATTATAACTCAGTTGATAGAACCAAATTATCTTGTTATACCGACAGGGCACCAGCGCAGCACCATAGTTTCTTTAGAAATTTATTCCTTTTATTCATTTGTGACATGACACAAAAAACATCTTTCTTCATTCTATTACCGAGGGTTAGATTTAACATCTATTATTTTTTGACTTGAGACACAATCGGTAGAAAAGCGTTCGAAGCAGTTCCTAGAGACCCACTTGAAAGGTTTGTTATATGGAACGAAACTCGCGAAAACGAGTGGCTGTTGTGTAAAATGTCCGCACAGCCCCATCCTACATTATACATTCAGTTCTTGAACAGAGAAAACAATAACAAAAACAATACATTTCCATTGGGAAAACAGATTTGTTTTACAATAGTATGGGGCTGTGCGGAAACTTTACCGACTGTTGTTGTTGGAAGCATGTTTTCAGTCGGCTTCGTTTTTCTCCAGGTTGTGGGTTTCGCTTTGCTTGATTAAGCCTGCTTAGTCCTCTACACGGCTCAAAAAAATTAATTGATGTAAACGACAGGATATGATTCCATGGCATGTAATAGTTGCTCTTCAGTGACGATTCCTTGCCCGAGATCTGATACCATTATTTGGAGACGAGCTCATCGTCTACATGAATAATTTCAATTAGTTTTGTTCATTTTGGATTTCTGTGTTTTTAGCCATCGCAATATAATGAAAAACAAGACGCCTAAAGGCGTTTCCGTGGGATACGTTTGCTACTGAGCATTGCATTGAAAGGAATTGTGCAGTTACAGTAAACTATCATGACTAGTCAGTTGAATTAGCCGAATTTGTACGCTTTCGTCGAAAATACTCAACCATAATTAATGAATATGGAATAAGGGAAAACAACACACGCACGAAGGAAATCGATTGGCGCATCACAACATGTCAAATAGATTCAACCATCTCCTTTATCTAATCAAAGAATACCTATGGCCAACTCATGTATAAAGTACTTAACCTACAAATGAGACATGGCTGTGAACTTGTAATTATTGGTCTTGCAGCAATGCAAGGTTGCTCTCATTTCAAAAGCCAAGGTTCCGGAAAACCTCGGAGAGATCTACAGTTATGGTAAACATCCAACTCCGCAGAATAATTAACGCATAAATAATTAATCGAATTTCCGTTTGCAAAATTCGCCAAATTAAGCCGCTGGAATCCAAATCTTACTTCGCATGCACAAGCCAAATTCCACTATTATCCAATTCTGTCACTTCTCGCCTCACATTAGCTCAGTACATATTGGTATTGTAACGCAACGGTCTTAGTTTACATGGTGTTCTCCAGCTTTTATCTGGTACGTTTTCTGCCTCGGAACAAAAATACCTCAGAATGCACTTAGTTTGACCACTATTTTTTTTTTTGACTAAGAGAAATAAAAGATACACAAAACTGAATTCCACAGGTTTTCTTTTCGCAGAAAAGCACAAGATTAATTTCGTCCGCTTCTGATTGAGCCAGTCGCCAATGTTTACCTACGATAAAATCAATAAAGATTTTACGCAATACTATTGGCTGGCTCTGCAATTTGTTCGTACAATAAGAAACAAACCAAACCGGACTTTTACCGTAAGATTGCCACAGGCATCCCACGGAACAAGGTTCTAACTAACTTACATATTATTTCCATTCATATTCCCAAAACCTATGTAAGCTAGAATGGCAAATACCTATCTAAGCTAGATGGCAAATACATAAAAATCTTGGTGATACCAATTTTTTCTTTTAACAAATTCCTAGCGCCTAAATATTTACAAGAGAGCTTTTCAGTCATAAATATTAATGCACTCATGAAACTCTCCACCGAAATGTTTTTTTGTCTTTCAGTCTCGTGATAGACCTATAGACGTGCCAGCCAAAAGTTTGCAAAGTGAACAGCAAAATCCACCCCTGCGAGTCTTTGTTTTTGCTATTAGATCTTTTGGAAATGGGAATAACAAGAATCAGTAGAACAATATTACCACTTTGCTCCAAGAAGCGTTTGACTCTACTGGTGGGCATGTTTCTTCTTTCATCATTTTTCCTAATCATGATACTTAGGAATGAAACAAGCTACCTGAGATTCGAGCCTTGGTTTTGCAGCAACAGGACAGAAATCGCTTCCGGTCGATCTTGCTTCAGTAATGCCACCAAAACCATTTTGTTCTACACGCCTATGTTTGGTAGCAAGCCATGGCCCGGAGTCAACTCTGCGGAAGAGTATCTTTTAAAATGTCCGACAAAAAAATGCCAAATAACGTATGATGTCTACGATATAGGAAAAAGTGATCTAGTTATTTTTCATGCTCGTGATATGCAAAGTTATGTAAGAACGAAAGAAATTCAACAGATTCACAATTACCGGTGTCCACAGCAAAGAATGGCGTTTTTAAACCAAGAATCCATTGTCAATGACCCAGATTTAAAGAACCGTCTTTCCTTGCCGGAGGGGTTCTTTAATTGGACTATAACTTTCAAAAGGGAGTCAGATTTTCACTATCCTTATGGAAATTATGTTTCTTTGTCGTCAGCTAAGAGACCAGCGAGAATTTCTGACCATGCAGCTGAGAAAAACAAATTTGTGTTATGGGCTGTTTCCAATTGTGGAAGAACTCGAGATAAGTACGTAAAAAAACTTCTGAAATACGTTAAAGTTGATGTTTATGGCGACTGTTCGGAAAACTTTGACCAAGACAATCAATGCCAACCATCAAGCAATTGCGATGATATTTTCAGCTCATATAAATTTTATCTGGCATTTGAAAACAGCGTTTGTACTGATTACATTACTGAGAAGTTTTGGCGTACACTTGGTTGGAATTCAGTGCCTATAACACTGACAAGAGATTTCTACACACCAGATGTAGTACCTCCAGGCTCATTTATAAGTGTGCAAGACTTTCCATCTGTTAAGGCTTTGGCAGAATACCTGTTATACCTCGACAAAAATGACACTGCCTATAATGAATACTTCACATGGAAAAAAGCATTCGTTTATTCAGGGATCTTGGGATTAACACATACAGCCTGTGACATATGTGATGCTCTTCATAATGAATGTGTTCAACCCAAATTTTATAAAGATATATTCAAGACTTTTTGGAACGATAATGTTGATTGCAAAGAGAAAGAGGGAAAACTTTTACATCTCATAGATAGAGAGGAAGAGTGATCAGTGTATGTCGAATATCCATTGATTTTCGAATGTTACTTCCAGTTCCTCCTGGTAGACAAAGTGAATCACTGATGTGAATAACAAACAGAAACTGACTCTATGAAGGGGCCTTCTCCTGAGCCCTCTGAACTGAGTCAAGGCGCGAGAATTTCAAGAGTGATAATAAAGGACATGAAAACAACTAATACTCCAATAATTCACACCAGCAAAAAAAGGTTTTGTAAAACCACAGGCGACCCAAGCTCCAGGTGTGAGATGATCATCTTACGAAATAACAGACATGGCGAAATTATAAGAGTTTGTATGGGAATATTTACGACCGCTCTACGGAATAAAAAAATTAGTGAAATTCTCGCAAAAAATACCTCACCTCACTTCCACAGTGCGTTGGTTGTTATCTGACCGCTTACTACGTGGAAGGGAACCCATTTCAGCGAGTAACGTAGCTACGTAGTAAGTAGTCAGATAACAAAGGAGGTTTGTTCTTTTGCCGTGAGTCTTTTCCTTTTGCCGTGAGGTTCTTCCTTTTGCTGTGAGGTTCTTCCTTTTGCCGTGAGGTTCTACCTTTTGCCGTGAGGTTATTTCTTTTGCCGTGACAGTTGTGGGCCACCGAAAAAATTAAGAAACACAGAACTGAAGAATTAAATTTTCCATAAGTTTCAAGTAGCCACTGGCTTTTATTTTCAATTTGCCTAATTTGAAGAAGACAAACATCGCTTTAAGCAGTTTCTATGAAGAAAACCATTTTCCAACTGTTTTTAACAACACAGCCTAAAGTTTCCGTGTGAATGGTGTTTAAATTTAAAAGCATGCTTTTGGTCAAAACGCCCTTAAGTCGAAGGCCATGAGCTGCCGCCATGTTTACAAGTCTGCGTACACCTGCCAAATCCATAAAATGACGTCACGAAGATTCCAGTACTCCGGTCGTCGATAACTGTCAAGCAGCCGCGTCGCCTTGTCTTTTGTCCTTATGCTAGATCAGTTCGATTCCTGCGGTGAGTAGGATTTGTTTCAGTTTCGCGTGACTTTGTAGTGTCCATGATAATGACGCAGAATATATTGAAGAGTTTACTTTGAAGTCTTCACTACCTCCTCCAAGGTAAAAGAATTCGTTAAGTCAAACATATTAATTTTATCTACCTTTCGTGAATTAGCATGCATGTCTAACGAGTCGACATTTCCCCAAGGATACCCTGACTCTAAAGCTGACGTTTCCAGCGTGAGCCCCTCTTCATTCGCTCTGAAGAACGACTGCTCCTCGAAAAGTCAGCCACAATATCTCTTTACATTGACTTATTTACATCATAACTCAGTTGACAGAACCAAAATTATCTTGCTACACCGCCAGGCCACCAGCGCAGCACTATAGTTTCTTTAGAAATTTATTCCATTTACTCATTTGTGACATGACACAAAAACATCTTCATTCTATACCGAGGGTAAGATTTAACATCTTTTATTCTTTGACTTGAGATGCAATCGGTAGAAGAGCGTTCGAAGTCACTTGAAAGGTCTGTCATATGGAACAAAACTCACGAAAGCGAGCGACTGTTGTTTTTGCAAGCATGTTTTGGGTCGGCTTCGTTTCGCTTCGGGGTGCCGGTTTCGCTTTGCTTGATTTGGCCTGCCCAGTCGTCTACATGGCTCGATGACCGAAAAGAAAGAGG